TGTATATGTATGTGTACATGTATGCGTATGCCTATGTGTATGTATACGTATGTGTATCTAAGCTTAAGCAAGTAAGTAGGTAGGTGAGGAAGTAAGTACATAAGTATGTAACGATGTACGTAAGTACGTAAGTAAGTAAGTAAGTAAGTAAGTAAGTAAGTAAGTAAGTAAGTAAGAAGTAAGTATGTAAGGGAGGAAGTAAAGAAGTAAGCAAGTAAGTAAGTAAGGGAGGAAGTAAGTAAAAAATCAAGTAGGTAAGTAAGCAAGTACATGAGTATGCATGTATGTATGTATGTATGTATGTATGCATGTATGTATGTATGTATGTATGTATGTATGTATGTATGTATGTATACAGGTGTGTATACATACATACATACATACATACATACATACATACATACGTACGTACGTACATACATACATACATATGTACCTGCATACATACATACATACATACATACATACATACATACATACATACATTCATTCATACATGCACGCATGCATACATACATACATACATACATACAGACATACATACATACATATATGTATATGTACATAAGATGATTATAAAACTATGGTATTATTGGTGGCTTCTCTTCTACAAGGGTTTGGGGCTTAGGGTTTGGGGTCTCAGCTTCCTTGTACTGCGGGTTCGGACTGATATTGCGCATGATATAATTCCTGTATTACCCTAAGGACCCTAAACTATGGGAATTATGGTATGTTCCTTATCATGGGTAATGCAGGATTTATATCATCAAAACATCAACCGTAGTGGGCATTCGATGCTTCGAGGCTTGAGCTCAGAGAGTTGCATCACAGCAACAGAGTTCGTTCCATAGCTTTTGCTTGGCCTGGCCTAGGCGTAATGGGTGTGAGGATGTGGGGTTTCCTCGTTTCGGGGTTGTGTGGGTCGAGGGTTCAAGGGTCTGTAGTGGCTTAAGTGGGCGTTTAACTGTATGTCTTTGGTGTAGGATCGCATGTGGATGTTGATTTGGCCAACAAGGTGAGGGCTCTGCACCTGGAGCCCGTTGGCACAGCCGCCTACACCCTAAACCCCAACTTAAACCCCAAAACCTTAAACCCCAAACCCGAAACCCTGGACTAGACGAAAGGGATTATAGCTGCAAAGAGGCCGCGTCTGAATTCGGGACCCTAAACCCTAAACCGTACCTAAACCCTGAACCCTATAAACCATCAACCCTTCAACCCTATAAACCGAAGCCCAAAACTGTCAACATTGCTTTAATTTAAAACCACTCGCGCTAGGGAGGTTCGCACGAGGACGCCGAGGCAGCTACATGCAGATGTCTGCATCCTGCAGCAGCGGAGCGTCCTGCAGCTGATGGCTTGCGACGGCATCATTGAAACAGGAACGGTAACACTGGTAATCATCATCATCATCATCATCACGGAAATTCGAGGAATGCTCCGGATCAGCACTTCAACATGAACAGACTAACTACGTTTTCTCGTACCATGGCAGAGCACATACAATGGTGTTGAGCGAGAAGGACAGTTCAGGACCCGGCCAACTAAGTATTGGCCTGCTAGTGTTTAGCATTTTGCGTTCGGGGCATCACGCCCGAGTCATTGGTGAATACGGATACGGGCAAAACCGGCCAGACATAGCTGTGACTTCATGCTTCCCATGGCACATGTCATACGCAAGCACAGCCACACCTAGACTCGCGACACCCCGACAACCGACTGAAACACCAAGTTTTAGGGCTTCGCGAGCTTTGACAGCGGTGAAGTTGCACAAAACCCTAAACCCTAAACCCTAAACCCCAAAACCCTAAACCCTAAAGCTCGCGATCTTTCTCAGAGCTCCAGAACCAAAGCCCCCTTTGATTGCGAAAACCTGCCCAATCCGCCGTGGTACCCGAAACCCAATCATCTACTGTAGGGGCCTTAATAAGTAGAATAGGGTTCCGGGGTATATTATACTATCATCATACTAAGGAACCCCCAACCTAGGGTAGGTGATTACAAAGGCCCCTATACTACACCCAATCCTAAAACCCTCAACCCTAAAGGTTCGAAGCTCACCCTAAACCCCTAAGCCCACAGACATCCTCCGGGTAGAGCTCCAGGAAGGGCTTTCCCAACCTCGGTGAAGCAAAGTCGGGGCTCTGGGGTTTGAAGGCGCAGGGCGTAGGGTTTAGGGTTTTAGAGTTCAGGGTTTTCGGTTCAGTTCTAGGACCCTAAACCCTAAACCCCTAAACCCTTTAAACCCTAAACCCTAGACTCTAGGTGTCATTAGGATTTTTTGCGGGCCCTTTGAACTCAGCTGAGCTGGCATCCGGAATTCCTGCTGGTTAGCGAAGGACACAGGCACAGGGGCAGCTGAAGCGCACCCTAAAATCACTACGACCTAAAAGCCCGCGGCCCTTGCCAACAAAGGACAATCAACAGGGTTTAGGGAGTTTAGGGTGTAGGGTTCAGGGTTTCAGGGGTTCAGGGGTTTAGGGGTTTAGGGGCTTAGGGGTTTAGGGATTGAGGTTTAGGGTTTAGGGTTGAGGGGTTTAGGGGTTCAGGGTGTAGGGTTCAGTGTTTAGGGTCTAGGGTGCTCCGGGGAGGCAAGAGACAATACACTAGGACAAGCCTCTTCCAGAGCAGAGTAATACTCCACCGCTGTACGGGCTTCTGACAGTCGGCCAGAAGTCGGCAGACGGTGCAATGCATGGAAGACCAGACTTGACCGGACCGCTCAACATCACGCAGCCCTCAAAAACCGAGCCAATTACAGCAACAGGCTGCCACTTCAAAAGTACACATCAAGGACCCTAAAACCAAAATCCTAAACCCCTAAACCCTAAACCCCTAAACGCTAAACCCCTAAACCCCTAAACCCCTAAACCCTAAACCTCTGAACCAAAATCCTAAGCCCCTCAACCCTAAACCCCCAGAAGAACCGACCAACCAGCATGACTGGCTACGTTTCTTGAATTGACTTGGCCAGGACGCGCACGTACCGACGTCTATCGAGTTTGCGTTGCCCCGTTTCGTAAAGCTCTACCTGAAGCTTGCTTCGTGCGGGGCAACCCTAGAAGAAAACAAGGCTGCCACTCTCTCCTCGAGATTCCTCCGAACTGGACCCAAGGCAGACTCGGACTACACGCGAACCGCGGCGGCATCCCAACTGGTGCGAGTGAGCAGCAGGGTTTAGGGGCCTCGAGTGACTGCTTCGCAGCGTCAACCTAAACCCTAAACCCTAAATTCTAATTAAACCCCTAAACCCTAAACAGTAAACCCTAAACCCTAAATCCTAAAATGCCACGGGTAGCATGCTGCGTTCAGACTGAAGGTCTCTGATTTGCTTGAGCCGGCTGTATTTGTCAAAATCACAGCTGTCTCCGTGAACGAAGCTCACTTAAGGGGTTTGGGGTTTAGGGCTTTGGGGTTTGGGGTTTAGGGTTTGGGGCTTAGGCTTTTAGGGTTTGGGGTT